AAGATGGAATGAGGCAAAGTGAAATACTGTACAGTGGTCTGAAGTGTGAAAATGTGAAAATCTTTTTCATATAGATGCTGCATTCTGCAGGCTAAAGAGTTCAAAAGCCAGCACAGAGTGATGGCATGGAGATGCATTAGTGCAAACTACTATACATGAGTAGCATGAAGGCAATATGCCTGCTGAATCATATCTACAGGTTTTGGAGCAAATAAACATTGCCATTCAGATGACTTTTTTAAGAGAAGGCCTTGCTTATTTCAGAAAGACAATGCCAAACCACATTCTACACATACAGTATTTCAACAGCAAGTCTTTGTAGTAAAATAGTATGGGTGCTCAATTCATCTGTCAGCCCAATATTTTTTATCAATATTACATTTGCAGAGTAATTTCTCTATTGTGCTATCTTTTAATTGATTTTGATTTCAGTAATTGTTCTAAAACAGCTTTTATTTTGTAGTGCATACAAACCCAAGTTTCATGCTTTGTGCTGTTATTAAAATACATCTAAAATAATGCCAAATAGAAAGGCTATAAACATCAACAAACACACTTATTGCTTATTGTTTGTGTTATTTTTTTAGACTGCACTCTAATTTTGAACAGCTTTTTTACAGATTCTTTGATTTCTTTCGTTTGCAGAACATAAATGATTGGGTTCAATGTGGGAGGAAAGACAGAGGTCAAAGACGGATTTATGATCCTGGCATTTGGATGTAAATTTCCCAGTGAGGTAAAAGTGATCATAACTGGGAGGAAATAAATTGTGACTAATGAAAGATGAGCAGTGCAGGTTTTAAAAGCCTTCACTCTCTCATGAACTGTGGCCACTTTAGTCAAAGAAAAGCAAATATATAGGTAAGTAAACAAGATGAATACCAGTGGAAGCCAAAGAAGCAGAACTGGTAGCAAGACACTAATTACCAGGCCGGATATATTGTCATTGCAAGCCAGTCTGTATATTTGGCCATAGTCACAGAAATAGCTGTTAATTACCACAGACTTACAGTAGGAAAGCCTTGTTAGAAGGGTAACTGCAATAATTGTAACAGTAATGGCAAAAAGCCAGAAAGAGACAATCAAAGAAAACATGAACCTGTGGGTCACCTTCACTCGATAGTGCAGTGGGAAGATGATGGCTATCATTCTGTCATAGGCAAGTGCAACCAAATTTAGAGGCTGCATCGAAAGACAGGCATAGCAGAAAAAAAGGAATGTCAAGCAGTCATTGTAGGGGATGTAGGGATGGTCAAACAGAAAGATGTCAAGAAC